TAATGGATGTTCTCACTAGACATTTGCAAGAGGATATACCATGGTGTATGCTTTTTGCTGATGATATTCTTCTTATTGATAAGACTAGTGAGGGAGTTGAAGGTAAACTTGAATTATGGAGGTCAACCTTAGAGTCTAAAGGTTTTCGCTTGAGTAGATCTAAAACAGAATATATGGAGTGTAATTTTAGTAGTAATAGACCTAGTGAGGGGATTGTGACTTTGGGCGATCAAGTCATTAATAAGAGTGATGGTGAAATAGATGGAGATATTATCAGCAGAATTCAAGTTGGATGGTTGAAGTGGAGGAATGCATCGGGCTTGTTATGTGATAGAAATGTACCCCTCAAACTTAAGGGAAAATTCTATAAGATGGTAGTGAGGCCTGCAATGCTTTATGGTGCCGAATGTTGGCCATTAAAAGAGAAGCATAATACTAAGTTAAGTGTGACAGAGATGAGGATGCTCAGGTGGATGAGTGGCTTTATCCTTAGAGATAAGATACGAAATGAGCATATACGTGAAAAGGTTGGAGTAGCTCCAGTAGAAGATAAGATTAGAGAGAGTCGCCTTAGATAGTTTGGTCACATAAAACCGCGGCTTTCCGATGACCCAGTTAGGAGAGTAGAGGTATTAGATTTGACTTATGTTAAGAAAGGTAGGGGTAGACCTAAAAAGACTTGGTTAGAAAATATTAGGAATGACCTTTCTTTATTAGATTTAAATGAGAATTTGTCTTTTAATAGGACAAATGGAGAAAAAGGATTCATGTAGCCGACTCCACGTAGTGGGATAAAGGCTTGATGTTGTTGTTGTATATAAACAGACAGAGAAAGAGAGAGAGAGTGCAGAAAAGTATTGAGGCTATCAAAGTGCAGAAAATATTTAAGAGGCAGCGGCTTTGCATGCACGAGTGTTGAGTACGGGTTGGGTGGAGATAGGAGTTGAGGTTAGGCCTTTGCAAGAAAGAGCTGAGAGCTACAATAGAAGAGGAATGGGGACGTGGGAATTTTTAGTCTTGCGAACTAAGAAGAACGGGAGAGGCGGATATGATGGAATGAGTATAGGATTAGAATGAAGTTGAAGTATATGATCAGAAGTTTATAAAATCAAGGTAGATGTGGCTCTTTGCATGTCATTTGATCCAACAGGTGGATTGCCATGTGTGATGAGGATATGAATTATGCAGGAAACGTGTTGGGTTGTAGATATATAGCAAGATATGTGTTGAAGGAAGAGATATGTGAGAGCATGAGTTGGTCAAGTGGTGGAATGAAATAAGAAAATATAATTAAATAAGGATATGCATTGCTTTAGATAATAGATATCAGAAGTGGCATTTTTTTATTATCTAAGAAATAATATGATACTATTATCAGGCGATTTATTTAAGAATAAAACTAAATTTTATTTTATAAAATAAGAAATGCTCATAACATGATTTGAAAGATCTCAATAATTTGGACACACGCATAAGAAATGATATTAAATTGCTATATTTATATATTAGTTTATGATAATTATTAATTAAATTATATAAAATAATATATCAATGCTCGCCCTTTATTTTATGTTCTAGTTCATGTGCCGTTGTCGCCTCGTAATGTGCCAATTTTGCATTTTCGTTCATATAAGGATCCGGACAATATGATCGTCATTTTCTAGTATTTTCAACATTCCGAACATAATGGAGAAATTTATTTTGCAAACGGACGACATTTGGGAAACATCGAGTATGTCCGTAGTCCGTCGATTACTTTTGTTCAATTTGATTGCGTGAGATCCCTCTTTGGTCAGATTCGATGCTCTAAACTCATCGACGAAGCTTGTTTAACAAGTGGAGGCCATTTGGATAGTGTTTTGCTAGCGTCGCATCCACTAACACACTGTCATTCGATCAAGTCGCATATAAACAACTTTTATTTGGTATATTTGATGTCCTGAATGCATCGATATGATCCATTTTGTAATCGGACAAAGCTTTAATCATTTCAATATGATTGAAGCACTCCGATCTTCGTTCTAAGGATATCTTATTTACCAAAAATAATAGATCATCGCCTCCGTTACTTGCATTGATCGTGCTACATATGTGGAGGTCAACAACATCAACTATGCAAGGATCGAGGGAGTTTTCTTATGACTCTCCCAGTTGAATATAATAGCTTTGTAAAATTATTTGACTAATGTTTTGAATAAATTAAATTAATTGTGTGATGACATTAACATGCTGAAAGCACAAGTTGACATACTGGAACCAATATAGTCCATGTATTTAAACTTGAAATTGATTCCAATTGGAGTGAAGAACCTATTATTTGAATATTAATTCTGTTAAGATACGGGAATCATCTTGATAGACAATGTAGTGTCTTTAACCATAATGTTATTGAAAATCATCTGTCAAATTTCTGACATGGACAATGACATACTTGATTCATTGATCTTAAATGTTTTAGTGGCTGATTATGAGATGTAGATAACTTCTTTGAATATAAAACAATTCTTGATGAATGATTATTAAGATTTACCGAAACAAAACGTAGTCAAGCTTGAATTTATTGCCCGAGCAGGAGGGGCAAATAAAATTTAGGAAGAGAACCTACTACAACTAAGGTTGAAACAAAAAGATTTCTAAAAGTAAAATATTTGCTTTTATCATAATGTGATTATTATCTCAATGAATTTAATTCATTAAAATGAGGAATTACAACTGTTATTGAATATATGAGCAAATTTTCATAATTGATGTTGAGTTTTGAGAGCATGAAGTTCCTAAACTCTCAAAATTTTGCTATAAATTCATTATCAATTGGTCTTAAATTCTTGTACCGTCAATTTTTTGTTTAAAGAAATGGGTTTTTAGATTAATTGATAACTTGTGATCTTTGAATGCTCAATTTTTATGTGCATGAATGCATACTACACATATTAATTGCATTAGGAAATCTTATCATTGAGTTATCCTGCATCCTAAATTCCTTTAGTTGGATGTCTGTTCTGATTCTTGTGTGAAAATTTCATATTTAGGTTTAATATACATAATTGCAATTTTTGTTCTTTATATTTAGAAATAGGCTAATCTAAGTTTTTAATGTCCTACAGTCATAGTAACATGCATTTCACGTTGAAAGTTTTAGTGGATAATATTTGTTTGTTCTCCTTATTACAACAACAACATCAAGCCTTTATCCCACTAGGTGGGGTCGGCTACATGAATCCTTTTTCTCCATTGTGTACTATTAAAAGTCAAATTCTCGGATGCATGCATTTAACTTCTGTTATCTTCCAGGATGGCCAACATGATAGTTGATGCAATTTTGGACTTGAACTTCGATGATACCGTGTGTTCCATTGGTGCAGCAGCTCTTTTCTACATTTTGGCCAGCGATGTAAGATCTAATCATAAATTTTATGGAAATATTCCTGCCATCGCCTTCAAAATTGTTTACCGCATCATGTATTTGTCAATCAGTTTTGAAGCTCTGCATGCACTTTCACGCTGCTGTTTTTTCTGGTTTACTTTTCTCAAGGTTGCTGAATGTCTATTTTCTTTTCTATGGTAGTTTGAGGTCCTTATAAGATATTTCACCGTTCTCAGACCTCCCTTTAGCACTGCTTCAAACAAAAATGCATTAACTTGGCTAGATTTGGATTATGCTATTATTGCTTATTCGATTATAACATTTTTTTTACTTAGATCAGTACTGGATCTGCCAACAGGCCTATGTTTGAACATATTTTTTAGTTTAGATTTGATAGTCTTATGTACTTTTCTTAATCTATTAGTTTTATTAAACTTATGTTTTTAAGCTTACTTTCATTTGATATTTTGGATGCCTTTGATTTCATATAGATTTTTTTTTTCTTCATTTGAGATGTCCTTTTTGAATGGCAGGATAATTCATTTTGCAATTTTGAGAAGTCCCGGGGTGGGTTGTAATTTGCATCTCTTGATTTGGTCAATTGACTGGTATACGTGGTACTATTGTTTTGTTGGGCCTATTAGTTTGCTCTTCCATAGGCATTTGTTGAGCGGATAATAGTTGGTTCTTGTGGTTTTGGGGCTGCATTCTGTAAGAAGGCCACAGTGCATTTTTACTGGTTTTAATATACCATACATGTTTTGATATTATTTTCTTGTTATTTTTCCTATTTGGAGACAACCTCACTGTTCTGAATAGAAAATAATAATTGGCTGCAAGTAAAGAGCCAGTTTTTCTCTGCAAGCTAAGTTGGGAATCATTTTAGGGTGTGGAGCCAGTGTTTATAGGTGTCACAAATTAATTGGCTAAATAGAATATATCCTCTCTTGTATGCTTCTTATTTGAATTCTTTGTTAATCCGATGGGATCCACAAGCTTAGGCGACGTCCATTTACTAGCTGATAAATTGGTATCAACTTTTGCAGAGCTTCGCCTTCGGCCTCTAAACACGTTGAATTTTGGCCTTCAGGTTAGGGGACACGTTGAATATCTTGCCTTCGCACTTGAGAAATTGTCATTGTTTTTGGTGCTAGCAAAAGTAGCTAATGGCCTCTAGATACTCTCCAGTCCACAATGAACCTTTTGGTTGGGTTTGAGTGGTCCAGTGAGGTCCTGAGATGGAGCAAAGTGCGGTTGGCATGCAGCGAGTTCAAGTGGTGCTGGAGGCGGATGAAAGCATCTGTAACTTGCTTATTGATGAAAAAGCTTGTGGAGTTGTCGTCGAGAGTTCAAGATGACTGGATAGGGATTGAACATAATGGATGACACTTTTAGTTGGAATTGGATTATTTTTTGTGTTAGGAGACCATGAGACATACTTCAATAGGGAATCATAGTGGGGTTTGATATGATTTGTGCCATGGGAAGGGCTACGAGATGTAACCTAGCAGCTGCCATGGTGAAGTGTTGCATGTTTTAAGTTGTGGAGGCTACAGAGATGTAATTAGAGTTTGAGAGGTTACTTGAAATCTGCCATATCATCCACAGTCATGCTCTTGCTCTTACGCTCAGGCTAACCAACCCTTTTCTTGTTAGTAATAATTAGCCTCTCATTTTTGAATTGCAAATGGTCTTTATAGAGGGAGGGGAGTTGAGCTCTTGACTTTGGGAGGAGATTGTGATGCAGGCCCTGTTTAGAGATTTTCCAATGCTTCCAAATGTTGTAGGTAATGTCTAATAAGGATTAGATTCTTAGGATAACGGCGGAGTGGTGGAGGTGAGTATGTTGAGTAGGAGGGGTCAGCCATTTCAAGAATCACCTAAACCTGAGCCCTTCTAATTTGAATGTAGAAACTCCTGAAGTTTGTATAGGAATCTTTCTACAACTATTTTGGAGTAGCTGGCTTAGTGTGTTCTACAACTATTTCTTTTTTTCCCCCAAAAATTGTTTTAGAAAAGTATAGTATAACTATAAATAGTGATTTAGGAAGTAGCTTTTAAGAAGTTATGATGGCAAAATAGAAAAAACATAAGCCGCCTAAAATGAAGCAAATAATAGGGAGATCTGAGGCATGTAAAACCTCAACCAAGTATTTTGAACAATTTATGTTTGGATGTTCAATTTTCTTTTAAGTCTTCTCCTAATACTAATGTAAAAGATTTCTGGGAGAGGATATCTTCTTTTACAAGTGGGATACTTTATTTGGTAATTTCTTTTCCTTCTACTTCTTCTCCATTTTCTAAAATCTTAATATTTGTCGCTTGATTTTTTTTTTCAAATTGGATACTATTTGATTTATTTGAACGCATGATTTTAATTGATTGTCTGGTTTTCATTGTCATGAATATCCTGAGCTGTTTCTAGCAGATGGATATTTAATTATCTTTTGCATCAAATTTCTCCATGCTTTTTGGTTTTCATCTCTAGTAATGAGTAATTGTCTAAATTAAGAGTTTGTGATCTATGAACTTCGGTGTAATTGCATGATTTTTTGCATCCCATTTTATATTTGCATTAGCAAAAAGTCCATCTCAGTTGTATCATTAGCATTATCGTGACTATTTGGATCAGCTTTATGAATCATTGTGGTCTATTCATTTTCATTGCATGAGATGTATATTTTGTTGTTAACTATTTCCCAGTCATTTGGCATAAATTTTTTAAATCCTCATTGTATGCGCATTTTTACTGCGCAAGGTGTTATATATATTAATAAATATTTTATTTTCCTAATGGAGATTCATCAACTTTTGGAGCTATGTATGCAACTATATTTTTTATTTCCCGTAGATCATCAGACATGCTATTTTTGAGGTTTTTTTTTTTAATAAGAAGTGAATTGCTTTGTTAAGATATTGAGAAAAGAATCAAAATTGTCCCCTGATTCTTTATGAAATACTAAACTAGTCCATAACTATATTAAAGGACTATTTTGGTCCCTCAACTTCTTAAAGAGGAACCAAAATAGTCCCACAATGAGACTATTTTGATTTTTTTTTAAAAACTCCAGGGACCAAAAAGATCGTTTAATATAGTTGGGGATCATTTTGATCTTTCATAAAGAGTTGGGGGAACATTTTGATTCTTTTCTCTTAGGATATTTATAATCTTTATGCCACCCTAGAGAGCCTGATACTTATTTTTGCTCTGGATCTAGCTTCTTTTGGCTTTCTTGCATGTTGGAAAATTTCAACATTTGCTCTCTTTAGGTATATCAAGCCTTTTTGAAGACATGTCTTGGAATTATGGTTTAATAATAAGATATAATGTGATCCTACCATTTTATTTCCTACTCTGCTTTGCTTTCAGGTTGAAGATCATTCTCTTCTTGATTCCCCAACTTGTGTACATTTTCTTCTTAAGCTATTGAGTACACCTATGGAAAGTGTCGAGAAGAAGACAATGAATATTGGCCTAGACCTATTAGAAATACCTAAGCCTCAAACCGTGGACAGTGCAAATAAAGGAGTTGACTCTACGTGTAGAGCTATAATTTCAAAAGTCAAAGAACTTCTTTTGAGTTGTAATGAGATCCAAACTGGCAGTGACAATGATGATGGAATGAAAATACCAGAGTTGAGCTCAAAATGGATAGCTTTATTGATTATGGAGAAAGCTTGCTTATCTTCGGTTTCTTTTGAAGGTGAGCCATTCATGCTTGATCATCAACCCTGACATAGCAGATCAGTTGGTCAGCATTGTTTTGTTACCATGACAAACTTGGAATGGCTCAAAGAGATTTATATCTATTCCATTGCCTGCAATAATTCCTTTATCATATTTTGGCACATCTATGGATGCTTCTTTCTAATAATGCTCAACTGTGGTCGAGTGACTGCCACGTATAGTTCCTTTGGGTGCTTACGTTCAATTTTTTCTCTTATTCCAATAAACTTTATGCTTGATTACAACAACAACATCATCATCATTAAATCTTTATCCCATTATGCGGGGTTGGCTACATGAATCTTTTTTCTCCATTGTGTCCTGTTAAGAGTCAAATTACCATTTAAGTCTAATAAAGAAATGTCATTTCTAATATTTTCTAAGAATTTTATGCTGAATGGAAAAAAATCAATGAAAAAGTTAAATGTCTCTTTTGGAATAAATTTGCGCCTATTGAAGTTTGGGTGCATGTGGAAACACCCTTTTTTCCATTCTGACGGCATGTTGTTTTACACGATAGGGTGGAAGTTTGATCATTCACAAATAGCTTTGGAATTAGAATCTTGCAATTATATTATCTTACATTGTAATGAGGCAGGATATACGGCTTTATAAATATTCTAAGAATTGTCTTACATGCTTTTTACTTCCCAAGCTATTCATGCATAACAGAAACCCATGTTGGTAAGGGCATGGGCTTACCTGCACGATGGAAAGGGGTTTATAGGTTCAATATATTTTATAGACCAATCATTTGATGGGGACATCAGATTATGGAAGGTTTATCAGAGACGTGGCCACCGATCTACGGCCACGATTGAGTCATTGTATTTTTGATTTATTTTATGTATTTTCTTATTTATGTTGTCGCATTTTATTTGTTTTCCCGTTGTACCCTTTTATTAAGGGATGTCGTATGTAAGCCCAAGGGGCATTATTGTCTTTTGTCTTTGAGTTCTTGTATGAGGCTTTATATAGCCCTCATTGTTCTTTTTGGAGGTTGATGAAGATTTATCGAAGAAATTTATGCACTTGAGTGTTCTTGTGAAAGTTGAAGAATCATGGAGAGAGATCCCTAGGAGAGGGAAAACTTGTGCATCACCCTCCAACCTAGATAAGTCGGGTTCGTGGTTCGACTTCTTATCTCTTTTTTTATCTTTCTTTCTCAACCCTATTGCCGACGCTAACCTCCTCTTCCCGGATCCCTCAAGCCACCGACCACACAAAGCTCCACCTCCATTAACCCCTCTTCATCCCCCACGACCAAGCCCCACCCACCGGCCCTTCTACCCACTTCCCTCCCTTTTCTCGCTCAAAGCATCATGCCCAAATTTAGAATTGGATAAATTTTGGACATAATTTTGAATTCAAAACAACTAATTTGAAATTCAAAATCTTTCCTAACTTACCAAATTTATTTTAAGAAAGCTCTTAAATCAAATCCATTTGAATTTCAAATTCAAATTGGATTTATTTAAACACTTTCCTAATTCCTAAAACCTTAATTAAGTAACCCAAATCCCCTCACCAATCTCCTCCTTGGTCATTAAGCCGCCGGGCACCTCTCTAATTAATCCTAAGGATTTATTTCCTAAAATACCCAATCTCTCTTGGAAAGATTTCAAAACCCCCCACCCCACCTGGCCCCTCATGATTCCACTTCTTTAAATCTTTCCAAAACCTCCTATTTTAATTTGGAATTGAGCCCATCTCCGTATTTCTCTGCTGGCCGAAACTTCCCAAGGCTGGTATATTAATTTCCTTCTACAATTCTCTCCCAAAATTCTGCCCGACGTTGGGTCTTCTTCCCTCTAAAGCTGCAGCCAGAAATTTCCAGTAATTCTTCTTGAATTCTAGTAGCCTGATGCCCAATAATATTGTTTTAAGAGGACCAACCTGCTGCCCACCAACTTCCACTAGTTTGAATCATCATACCACCATTGGAGGAGACTTCCCTTGCTGATTAACAACTCGCCAATCTAAAAAAAGCAAAGTACTAGGGGTGTCAATATTGGACACGATCCAAAAACCTGACTCGAACCCGACACGGAAATTTCGGGTTCGGGTTGACCCGGAAACCCGGAATCAACCCGATTTGACCTGGGTTCGCGTCATTCACGTCCGCATCCATCCATCGCGTCGTCCGTCAGGTCCGAATTTCGAGTTGTCGCGCGACGTCGCGTCTGCGGTTGGCCGTCCTGCCAGTCCGCGTCAAGCGGCTTAAGCTCGCCATAGGGCATTCCGGAATAGCGGAAGGTTTCCCGCACAATGATCCGCCGTCTGGTGATCGCCTGATTGGCTGACCGCTGCCCTCGCACGTTCGCAAAGCAGTTGAAGGTCCCACGCAATGATCCGTCGTCCGTTCGCTAGCCATACTTGCAGTCGAAGGTTCGCCAGGCTCCAACAGTCACGTCCGCCGCCGGTCTGTTCGCCAATCGCCAGCTATTTTCACGCACTTCTTTAGCCAAATCGCGCAAATTCGTGTCGGGTTGGGTTGACCCGAACCCGCAGCGGGTCGCGTTGGGGTCCCAAAAATTGACCCGTTTGCAAAAACGGGTCGGGTTCGGGTTGACTCGAATAGTGCCGGGTCAGTTTCGGGTTCGACCCGAACCCGACCCGTGACCCGAAATTGACACCCCTACAAAGTACTACATGGATCGCTGACCCCGACATTGATTACGGGATTGCCTACGACGATCACAGATTCGTGCATATTCTCCATTCAACCTTCTTCGACGTCAATCCGAGGATCGACCATACGGTGGAGGATTACATAGAACATATCTTGGACGCCTTAGTCGAAGCTATTGAAGAACAACTTGAGATCCTCAAGTGAAGGATCGCACCCGATCCTTGACGAAGGTTTCCTAATCACCACTTTTCTTGTATTTTCTAAGCCTAATCTTTTCTTCGTGATATCGATTGTAATCTCGAAGGTCGCATCTGCCTACTTCTGCCAAGCTTAGTAAACGTAGGGATTTGAGTGCACTTCTTTGTTTCTAATTCTTGTTGTTAAACTAGGGATTTACGTTGAACGCAACCACGTATGCATGATGTTATTTTCCTGCCATATTTTGATGATGCAAATCTCTTGAAGTGCAACTTAGCCTAAACGCTAGTGACTCCTTTTTACATTTTGATTCGTCGTTTTATTTGCTAGTAGGTTTATTTATTATTTCTCTAATCAAAGGTCGTGCAAAATCTTACAAAATCATTGCATCCATCGTAGTTCTACATCATCATTTCTCCCGGGGATTGCCAATTTACTATAAGAATAGCTCTAATTTTTGACTTCTTTTCACCTGTGATGTGAAATGTTATAACAGATTTGAGTTTGAATAGAACGGTTCCTGGAAGTCCTTTTTCTTCATGTTAAAAACCTAGAGCATCTATGGACTGAAAAAATAGATCATTTATAGTGTAATTGTTTATATAGTTCAAATAGAGAAATGTAGTTGTCATTTGACCCATCATTCGCCACATGTCACTGAAAAGCTATATTGCATTCATAATTATCATGTATCGAGTTTATAGAGTAGATGTCTTCAATGCAGTGTAAGAAGGCGGGCTTGCATCATTTGGATTTTAGGCTTCTCCTTCTTAATATAACAACACTTCAGTCATTTGCTTCCATTCATCAATAATTTGGCTGTATAATATTTATGTACCTTCTGAAGTTCTGATTTATCAAATGCTCATTTTGTGAAATTTGCTTTTCATGGATCTCATTCAGATACAACTGAAATGAAGGGAAATGTTTGGGGAGATTTTAAGGAAACTTTCAGGGAGCTTAAAGGACTAGATGCAATATTTGATGTTGTCACTAATTGTCATTTTACCTTGGAGGTTAGCCTTATGATTGTATTGACTATGGCTACTATATACTGTTTTAACTGGAAGTTCTAATATAAGAATTGCATTTTGTGCTTCTTTTTTGTTATCAACGGTTAATACTTTGTTGCAAAATATACCTTCCATATTTAATTATAGTTTAAGAGTAAATAAGTTAATGTTTCATTTTTTTAGAGAATTCCTAGAATGAAGTGCTTATGACTACACCAGTGTTTTGATTGACATTGTAAAGCAGAAACCCACTTCGTCTACGAAATGCTATTAACAGCACATCAATTTCAAATTAACTTTTCTTCTATAGATCCCTTGAAAACATATGTTCACTGTCATTTTCTTCTAATACTTGATTTTCGAGATATAACTTTTATCCTCTTGGTGATATTAATTTAATTTTCTTAAGATTTATGCCGGGAAGTTGCTTGTCATTGAACTCTCATCAACTTTTGAGCAGCAGTTAAATCTCCAATTCTACCTTACTTGATAGACTCGTATTTCTTGGGTACAACTGATTACTCAATGTTTGAACCTTTCCTTTCATTTTTCCAGGCAATTTTCGTTAGTCGAAATTATAACTTTTTGATGCCAAGACAACTCGGTCTTAGCCTGTTTGTTTGCATGATACTTTGAGTCTGTTGTGCTAGTCCGGTATATGTATAAACTATTACATCTCTAATGTGAGAACTTAACGGTAAGAACACCTGCTGCTGTCACTTTTTGATGCATTCAGTTATTTTGGTTTATTTATGTTTTATTGTATTTTGAACAATATTAGTTGTGTTTTATTTTTATTTATGCTATCCTATGATGGTTGGGCTTCCAATGATCATGGTAGGAAGGTGTTTGGCATGGTGAGCCCATGGGTTTGCTTGCTTTTGGGTCCACTTCGTCCTTGGGCTGCTTGCTGATTTCTGTTTTGGTGTAGTGGCTGCTCTCGGGTGGGCCTTGGTTGCTTGGTGAGGAGCTAAAAAAATGTTGGATTCTACTTGGTGTTAACTCATAAATGCTTGAGCTGAAATTTAGCTCAATGATTGGAGATTAATTGCTCATCCTAGCTCATTAATTCAATTAGGTATGATAATATTTCTTGGATTCATTTTGGAGTGGACTTGCCTCTTCTCGTTCCCTTTGTCTTCTCGGTTTCCTGTGCTGGCTGGTTTTTCCGTGCTTGGCCCCTTTGTTTCCTGTGCTGGCTGGTTTCCCGTGCTCTGGTGCTTGGCCTCCTGTGCTGGCTTTTCGGGTCTCCTGCTGGCTGCTTTCCCGTGGGCTGCTGGGTGGGGATTTCCGTGATCTGGTTCCCTGTTTTCTATGCATTATTTGCTGCAGCCGTTTTGCTGACTTTTAGCCTTCTATTTGGTGTCTTTTAGCCTTTTACTTCCCCAAACCTGATTGGTTTTGGTTGGAGGTGGAATGACTATTAGACTACCCTCTTTTGCCTATAAAATGGAGATATTTTGGCATGAAAAATGTTATTGATGATTGTGAGTAAAAACTCTATAAAAACCTGAGGGTTTCTTCTTGGAAAAGCTTGAGAGCTTGTTCCATCCCCCTTTCCTCTCTATTTTGTCTTGGCTTCTAATCTCTTCATCTCTACGCAAGTTCCACTCCATTTGTATCATTCTTCTTGAGCTTTGGAAGTATATGTTGACTGAAATTTGGAGACATTTGCCGGAGGAGTTTAGAAAGGACGTTGGACTCTTTTGCAGTGGAGGACCATTGGTTTGCAAGCCTAAGCACAATTTTCTTAAATTCCTACTTTCGTTGCATGTGAGGAGACCGCTAGAAGGTTATACTGAGGATAGTGTTTTTATATTTTTATTTTGTTTTCGTTCGATTTGGCTTTTTTTTTCCTAAGTTTGTTTGGATGTTTGCAAGCTTCAATTGAATCGAGTTTGGTTTTAAGTATTGCCCTAGTGTTCTCCAATTTGTCTCTCTTTTCTAGTTTTGCTTGCATCACTTTTGGATGATTTTGTAGTGCCATTTCTAATGTCTTTGACGCAACAATGATTTATGTAAATGGTACAGACTCAGGCTTGATCCCAATCGTTGTAGAAGATTTGAGCCTTGACTTGAGGTCAATTTCAATCATTTGATTATCATTATTATTTGAATACTCATTTATAGAGCCAAGGTTATCTTCATGTACATCCTTGATTGATCATATCCAGTTTTGCAAGGATCAGGTAGATGTTGTGTGGCTATCTGAACTTGTGGTTGTGGAAGGACTTGTAGTGCATGTTTAAACTGAAGAATTGCAAATATGTTTCTGTTGTTGTTCCACATACACACGGTGAAATGATGGTAAATATGAAGAAATGCTGTTCATATTATTAACAATGCTGATGTTGATTTTTCATATTATCTATATTTGGGAGAACAATAATCAGAACAATACGCACTAGATCAATATTGAGTTCGTAATGATTATGAATGACTATAATAACATTCATTAAATTTGGAACAATCATCAGTTCCATAGAGAAAATTGTTCAATTCAACTTCATCATCTAAAATTTGTAGTTAATAATTTGTTTAATCATTTTTAGGCAAAATTAAATTATATCAAACATAATTCTCCCAAAAAAAAAAATGATAATGATAATTCTATAATGAATTTTATGAATTTTCACTTGATTTATTGCCACTAAAATTATACTCCATGTATTCAATTTTAGATTGTGTTAATGTTAGGGCGTTCCCTAGAAGTGACGCATTGTATGACCTAAATACAGTGATAAGTGTGCAAGGGCTGCTGCACTGACGCCTGAGTACAGTGTTAAATAGGCAATGACTCCCACATCATGGACGGATGCGGGCAAAGAAGCTAGTCTATGAAACTAAAATTAAGATATAAACTTGGAATATATGTATCCTTACAGACAAATTAATAGAATTAATAGATATTATGATTCAAAGAAAAATAAATATTCTATACATTTAAGAAATTAAATGAGTTGGATAAAAGGCTAAGGAGACTGATAGTTTAAGATTTAAATTATGATACTCTGGTAAGAGTCATACTAGAAATGTTATATGTGATTGTAGATAAGAGTTTAAAAGATAATATTGTAAAATTTAATTATATCTTTAAAAATTATTGTTGATGCAAAAGATGTCTCTTGAAGAATTAGTATAAAAGATATCTCTTGAAGAAAAAAAATTTATTGGAGGAGATTTAAATGTATATATTAGTAGAGAGGTAAATGGTTTTAAAAATATTTATTGTGGCTATGAGTTTGGAGTAACTAATGAAGGTGATAAGACCATATTATATATATTTTAGCTTATGACTTCTTAATTGTTAATACTTTATTTAAGTAAAGAGATGAGCATCTCTTCACTTATAAGAATATATATAGTAAAAATCAGATTAACTATTTTCTTATAAGAAAAATATACCATTTAGATTGTAAAGATTATAAAGTTATTCTAAGTGAAAGTTTATGTATCCGACATCACTTATTAGTTTTGGAATTTAAAATGAAGGGTCAGAAAATAAAAAATAAAGTAAAACGTTGTTCTAAGATTAGATTGGGGCATTTAAAGAATATTAACAAAATTATTTTTTAGAGTAAAATAATAGATCATAAGATTTTGTTTGTGCATGAGGAAGCTAATATTATGTGAAAAAAAGTAGCTAATGATATTAAAAATATTGCCAAAGATGTGTTTGAAGTATCAAAAGGAAAAACTCTTAATCGTAAAAATAGTTGGTGGTGAAATCAAAATATGTAAAAAAAGATAAAAAATAAGAAGATTTATTATAAAAAATGATTTAGATGTAAATATTCTGATAATTGAGAAAGTTATAAAGAGGTCTGTAAGAAGTTTAAGAAAGCAATATGCGATACAAAGATTTTAGCTTTTAATGATTTATATAATATATTAGATACTAAGGAGTACAAAAGATATATGTATAAGTTAGTCAAATATAGAGATAAGAATAGTAAGGATTAGTTCAAGTGAAGTGTATTAAGAATGAAGATCAAATGTGCTTTTATAATCGAAGTTAGAGAGGCTTTAAAGAAAATGATGAGTGGAAAAGTTGTTGGACCTGATGATATTCTAATAAAGGTGTGAAAATGCTTAAGAGGTGTGGAAATGCTTAGGAGATGAAGGAATTTCTTGCTTTACTAAACTTTTAATATTATTTTGAAGACTAAAAAGATGTTTGATGAGTGGAGAATAAGTGTGTTGATTTCTATTTTTAAGAATAAAGGTAATGCACAAGATTGTGTGAATTATAGGGGAGTTAAGTTAATGTGTCATACTTTAAAACTATGGGAGAGATTTATGGAGCAATGGTTGCAACGTGATATTAATGTTTTTCAAAATCAAATTGGATTCATGCCGGGTAGGTCTAATATGAAAGCTATATATTGATTGAGAGGTTTGATGGATCTACGTATGATATTTATTGATTTAAAGAAAGCATATGATAAAGTTCCAAGAGAAATGCTATCGAGGGTTCTAGAAAAGAAAGGGGTTAATAATACTTATTTTCAAGTCATTAAGGATATGTATGTAAGAGTTGTTACTTATGTTTAGACACTAGGTGGTTTGACCAAGTATTTTCCTATTTCAGTTGTATTACATCAAGGATCTGCCTTAAGCCCATATATTTTTTCTTTAGTCATGGATGTTTTCACTAGACATTTGCAAGAGGTTGTACCCTGGTGTATGCTTTTTGCTGATGATATTCTTCTTGTTGATAAGACTATAGAGGGAATTGAAGGTAAACTTGAATTATGGAGGTCAACCTTAGAGTCTACATGCTTTCATATGAATAGATCTAAAACGGAATATATAGGGTGTAATTTTAGTAATAATAGTTCTTGTGGGGGGATTGTGACTTTGTGTTTAAGTCATTAATAAGAATACATATTTTAGATATCTTGGGTGAATTGTTCAGAGTGATGATAAAATAGATGGAGATATTATTAGTAGAATTCAAGTTAAATGGTTGAAGTGGAGGAATGCATCGAGCTTGTGTAATA